AAAAAAAAAAAAAAAAAAGGATCGGGCCCCTCCCTGCTAAAGGGAGAATAGGCAAGGGGCCCAACCTTTTTTTTCAATGGAGCCTGCTCACCACTTCTGTGGCCCGGGGGAGACCTGTCAGATTAAAGGCTGCAACACTACAAGTAGAAAGGTTGCAAACTAAACTACTTGGGGATGTGGTTTAGTTTCCAATGTTGCAAACTCATTTGAAACCCCCAAACCTTGAGCATGTGTAATGTGTGATGCTACTAAGCCACACAAAGGAAACTTTTGTCACGTGTACATGATCATCATGTGTACAAGCACTCCCTGATTTCAACCCTGCATGCCCGAACAATACTCTTATGCTCCTCTCTGGTCATTTGTCTAAGTTTCTACTTCTTGTAAACTTCCTTTTCATGCTTTAGATTACTGAAGATTTCCCTGCTAAGCCAAGCTGGTCATTTGCCATACTTGCTAGTCTTCCTGCACACTGGGATAGTTGATTCTTGCACCCTCAGTAAGGTTTCTTTGAAGTACCACCAGCTCTCCTGAAATCCTTTCCTTGTCAGATGGGCTTCCCAGGGGATCCTACCCATCCTACCCACTCAGGGGACCCTTCCCTGAGTGATTTGGAGTCCACTTTTCTGAAGACCAGGGTCCTTACTCTGCTGCTCTCCTTCTTTCCTTTCCTCTCGATCCTCAACTCAATCTCGTGGTCAGTGCTGCCCAAATTGCCATCCACTTCTACATTCCCCACCTATTCTTCCCTGTTTGTAAGCAACAAGTCAAGAAGAGCCTGGCCTCTAGTTGGCTTCTCCAACACTTGCACCAGGAAGTTTTCTCCAATACTCACCAAAAACTTCCTGGGTGGCCTGTGCACTTCTGTATTGCCCTCACAGAAGATGTCAAGATGACTGAAGTCCCCCATGAGAACTAGGGTCTGTGATGGAAAAACTTCCGCTAGCATATTAAATTTTAAGCTAGGGCTTTATATGGGGCATGTACACACCATTGAAAAATACCATTAGGATATATTTCTTTCTTCTAATAGAAAACAGTAGGATTTTATTACACTATGACAAAAACAAATGGTAATCAAAATAATTTATAATACAGCTAAACTAAGTAACAGATGCAAGTATTAAAGAGGACATGAATGACCTGAAATTGAGGCAATTAAAATATATTAGTCTATACGAGTTGCTGAATTACTCTTGAAATCTTATAATAGTTGTTATATTCCTAGGTTTTTACAATGTTCACCCAGATTGAAAGTGTCACATAAAAGCCACACGTTGAAAATGAAAAATATATATGGCTAATTAAAATTATTACAGAAGTTACTTAAAATTCTTTCTGTCAAGTGTAAATCCTCATGTAGTACTAACTCGAGCAAGGAAATACTGTAAATTAAACAGAATTGGTAGAAAACAAATGCCAACAACAAAAATAATCACGGGTCACAAATGATGTGCATCGTCTGAGCCTGAAAGGCACGACAGGAATCCTGTAATACTGCAATCCCAAGCGTAATTGCCAGCACTCCCGTGTTCTAAATCAATTAACATAATATGGGAACATTTATGTTATTTCACTGAAGAAGTAACAGCAAAACTTACCTGGTACACCAGGTGGGGTTTTCAGATATTTTCCATTGAAATGTTGAATTACTACTTCACATTTTTCTGTAGACTCCATTCTGGAAAAGAATAGGGGGAAGAAGGGAAGCAATAATTGTTACTAGAGTTCTATGAAAATGTGCAGTCAGCAAATAAAGAAGCAACACAGATGTGCTAAAGCTACTCTAGCTGAATGCTGCAGAGAAACTGGTGTAGTAACTCATTACAATACAGTGCAGTTAGCAATAAGAACCTGCCTCCCTCAATGACTGTAGCTGCATTCCTGGCTGTGTGCAGGTTGTGGTGGTGACTATGAACAGGAGACACCTGAACAAGGACATTTTTATCCTGTTGGGAGCATGTTGGAAAGACTTGCTTTCAAATTTCTTATGCACCCAAATTTCCCCCGAAGAGCATCATAAGAAGACAGGATTTGAAAGATATTATTTCAGAATACAAAGACATAAGAACAAGGGCTGTGTGAAGCTTCCGTCCCTGATTCAATTCGGTGGAGATTCGGCCCAATTTGGTGGCTGAATCTCTGAATCCAGTTTGAATCAGAGGACCCTTTCATCTCTCTGAATCAAATCGGAAGCTTCTGAATCGATTTGGAGAGTTTCAGGAAGATTCGGCGATTCAGCCATAGACACAGCTTTAGAAGTTTTTTTATATACCTCTAGGTAGCAGGGGCTTGTGAATGCTGAGATGCTGGGGCGGATGGAGCGTCCCACAGAAGCACGGGGGTCTCCCCAGCGCACTCAACAGCAGATGCAAAAGTGGACCAGAACCACTTCTGGTCCACTTCCAGGTCTGCTGAGGAATGTGTTTGGGGCCCCTCTCCCCATGGCCACTGGCTGGGTGACTGGTGCTTCCTGGGTCTGGGGGGGGCACCCGGGGTCTCCCCGCGGCTGATTGCTGAGCCAGGGGGGTGTTGGGGGACCCCTGCATGCTCCCTGGTGGACTTCCAGGTTTGCTGCTGAGTATGTGGAAGGCCCCTCCGCACTCCTGTGAGACACTCCATGCACCCCAGCATTCACAAGCCATGCTGGTACCTCAAGGTATGTAGAAAAAACATTTAAAGCTGTGTCTATGTCCGCATTGCTAATTCTCTGAATCAGCATCAAATCTCCAGATTCCGATTCGGCCAAATCGAATCAGGGACAGTGATCTGAATCAACTAATCAAATCACTGTACCTGATTCGGGCCAAATCCGAATTGAATATAGCACACTTCACATACCCCTAATATGAACATAACAGAATATGAAACAAAATACGTTTATAACTGTACATTACATGGGTTCAGTTCCTGCTTCCCTGGGTGGAAACAAGACATTATTACACAATTCATCATTCACTTCATAGCATTGTGAACTGTGATTTGCAAATATTTATAGCATCAAAGCATTAAAGCTATTAATAATAATGAGCTAGCACCTGTGTGACTTAAGTTGTTCTAAAGACTATAAAGCTGGGGCAAATTTATAGCACTTTAAGAAATGTATAAGCTCTTAGGGAGGAAGACAAGGGGGAAACTGTTAAATAACTGAAAGAATTATATAATCATTACTTTTTTCTCTCTAGGAAAGCTCTTCTGAAAAATAATTTTCAATATTCTTCTTTTAGTTTGGATCTGATCTAGGTGTTCTCCAAGCTAGAAGACTTCTCTGACCTAATTTTTACTTCATTCTTACAAGTCAAGGCCCTTTTAAAATGAGTTCATAAACAAACTCTTTCCACAGGCTTGTTAGGAAGAAAAAATAACATGTAGTCTACAGAGCATACATATTCTCTAGGGTCTCAAACTGGAGCTGAGAGGGACAGTTTGTCTCCTAGTACAAAGATTTGCCAAGCATTAGGAAAACATGAGGCAGAAAATAAGATGATTAACAGTCCAAGCAGGACAAGAGCTTTTGTTAGTTTATTTCAAGTGGACGCATTAAAATTGTGCCTTCTGGGTTCAAACTGTTAGAGTCTTTTGTAGCACTGTTTCCACTGCCATATCATGTGGGATGGGCCATTTCCACAAGCACAAAGACAGCAACTTGGATTGTTCACTTTGGCTTCATTCAGATTTAACTGAGCGAATGTCTGCAGTGAGCCTTTAGAGACTCTTGTCTCTGAAAGAATAAATGCAATAAAAGTCTGTTTTCTGTAGCTGTAGGCGCTTAGTGTCAAGCCATGTTATGTTGCACCACACAGAAGTGACAATTTCATTTTAATACATGGGGCACATTTTAAACAGCCAAAGCAGCCCTTGCAAAGAATGCAATATAGAAACTGCCAAATGAAAGAGCCTTAGTGCACTTCATGCATTTTATGTGGGAAGAGAATAAAAGTGAAACCCACAGTGCTCTGGGATAAAAAGGCCATCATTTGAATAGCAGCCGTAGAAAGAATATGCCCATTTTCTTCTCAAGTTTCACAATTAACAGCTCTCAAATGCCAGTACTAGCTATCTGTAATCTGGCACACGCTTCACTTGAAAACGACACTAGCATTATCAACTCAGTCTGAAAAGGCAGCATAATAGACAAAGCAGTCTTTACATGTTCCTTTCAGACGTGCTGCTGAATAACAAGTGCATGCACTCTTCATCTGTGCTACCTGAATCCCCTGGAGCCTTTCAGAACAGTTGTGTGTGGCAGGTAGACCATCCTTCCAGCAATATGTTAATTAGCCTGCTGCCCATTAAGTAACACTTCAGTCAACTTGGGTACTTGGATCTCCCAATTGCACATTTGAATGATGTTTTTTTCATGTAAATATGCAATAGACGCTGAAGGACTAAACAGTTTAGGAAACTGTTTTTTTCACCATATATTTCCTTTCTTTAATATAATTTAGGTTATAGAATGACTGGGCTGGTATGCAGAAACGATATAACTAGAAACTAGATACAAGCATGACGCTGTAATTACATATTATACGCTGATATCACTGCCTATTAAGTTTCCCTGACACTTTTTGTTATAAGACTCTATTTTAAATTGCTTATTACTTTGCCAGATTTTAAATGTTCCATGTCAGGGATCTGTCAGAGGCTGAATATGTTTTCAAAAAGTGTATCCAAATGGATTCAATTGTTTTCAGGAATGTGGCTAGTACATCATCTAGCCTGGGTTATACATTTCTTTTATTTTAATTTGGCAGAGGTGGCTTTTTTGTCAAGTATGTCTGTCTTTCTGTTCTCATGACATCTATATTTGGCCAAATTACAAGACCTCTGAAAAAAAAATCACTTGTTCTCACATATGCAATAGATACTTCTTAGCAGCTAAATTCCCTGAAGATACCATCTTCACTGAGCATGGTCAGTCCTGAAAATAAGTAGGACTTTCCTGCATTTTCAGCTCTAGGTTGCTCTGAGCCAAGATGGACCTGTGTCTGGACACCTGAATGGAAGTGAGGAGATAAGCTTTTGTACTCTTAGTGATCCCCCTATTAGGCTCAGGCAATAGAGAAGAGGAAGCCTCAAAATCAGCATGCTGAGGAGACGAGTTTTATCTAGGAAAGCAGGAGGTAGATTGGGGCAAGGAACTAGAGGGAATCTGGGACTACAAAACTGAGACTGGAATGTGGGGTGGAAGGAGAGTGGCCACAGAATTTGAAGCAGAAACTAAGCACTGGACAGTACTATATCTGGGATTCAGGAGGGGAAAGACTAGGCTGGGCAGAGATTCTAAGCCTGGCTGCCGGCAAGAGAAATGGGGTATATCCAAGGGCAGATCTAGGATTTTGAAAAGTGGGGTGCAGGTGGTGTGGTGGTGTGGCATCATCACATAAAACATGACACATTTTTCTCCAGTTAAAGAGAAACTAGAAGCTTTACTAATATGCTAGGGGCCTGGCACTATATTATTCAATTTAAGATAAAAGCAAAAACAAATATAACTTTATTGGAATGTTCATTAACTGGCTAGATTATATAGTCACATGAGAAACAAGAAAAACAGTCAAAATACATTGCTCCATTAGTTCTGTAGTCATTATATTTAAATATACATCTTATTCAAATTCATAAAACAAAATCTAGCCTTTCTGAGAGTCTTGATGCTTTCAATACTTCACTGTCAGTCATTTCTACACCTGAGTTAAAGTCTTTAGCTAGATCTAAAAAGAGTCTGCAGGGATGGGAAACGGAAGGGAAACATTACAAGGAATGGCTAAGGCATAGCACAACTACAGAAGATAGTTTGAAAAGTGGAACAGCAAGGCTATTAAAATGGAGAGAGAGTCATTAACACCTATGGAATAAAGAGACATTAGCAGGAATCAGGTAGATTATAAAGAGCCATGGAGTCAATAGACTCTCTCAGTGCTGCCTGAATAGAAATGACACTGCTCCTCCCAGACAGCTGGTGTTAAAGTTTGGGCGGAGCAGGAAGCAATGGGGGAGGGGGGTTGCAACTGCACCACTGCACTCCACCTGGATCCACCTCTGGATGGATCTCTGATTTAATAGGTAGGGGGGAAATAAAATCAGATGAGTCCAGAATAAAACTGAGTTTGCTTGCACAAGGAGACTAGGACCAAGGAACAGCACAGTAGGGTGGGAGAAGAATCTTAATGGATCGATTGAAACTAAGAGCTGAAATTTAGGGACTGAACTGGGACTGGATGAGCAAAGAGACTAGAAACAATGAGCTAGGGTTGGGACAAAATTAATCTGAATAAGGATTGGAGGAATGGAGATTAAAATTAACAACTGATGCAACTGGAAAGCAAGGTAGGTGAGGTGCACAGGATGACAAGGTGAGGAATGGAGACTGTAGGGAACAACTTTGTAGGAAACAAGCTACCCAATCTGATTTTATTAGCGCAGGAGGCTTTCTTTAATTTACTTACTCTTTATTTCTTTTTAGATTCTTTTTTTTTTTTTTAACTTCTTTTAAAATTATCCTTCAGGGACTGACTTCCTTCATTTCACCACCCAGCCCCAGCCTGCATTCCTACCCATTGCCCTTTCATCTCTCAGTTCACTACCCAGTCTCCCCCTTCCATCCT